GACCCTATTTTCAAAGTAGCTTGTTACGATCTTAAGAAGGTATTCTGGAACATTTTTCTCTTCCAGGGCTTGCATAATGCAGTCCCAGTTGGTGGAGTTGAAGGCATTTTTGATGTCCGGAGTGGCCACCAGGCAGTACTTCTTCGCTCCACCCTTCTATCTGATCCCTTCGATTGCCTCCTTGGCTGTTGCAACAACCAGGTTGATTGCGTCTAGGGTTGATCGTCCTTTCCGAAAACAATACTGGTTGTCTGCCAGGAGTGTATCGACAACTGCTTCCATTCTTTGGTGGATTATACGCTCAAGTATCTTACCTGCCGTGTCTAACATACAAAGTGGTCGATAAGATGACGGTTCTTCTGGTGGCTTTTTACCTTTTGGAAGTAGTACTAGTCGTTGCTGCTTCCACTTCCGAGGGAAAATCCCTTCCTTGAGGCATGTGTCGTAGACGTCCAGGAACAATGATGGCACTGCTTTTATAGTAGTTTTTAAGGCAATATTGGGGACCCCGTCCAATCCCGGTGCTTTATTGTTTCCTACACGATTAGAAGCCTCCATCAGTTCTTCCTCCGTGACAAATGGAATGTCATCCATTTCATTCTGCGCTACTAGGTAGTTAAACTCGCTTTGTCCGGGGAACAACGCGTTTACGATCTTCTGTAGGAGTTGAGGACACGTGGGTGATGGCATTAGCTGGTTTTTAAGATGGGTCATAACCACCTTATACGGCCGACCCCATAGATCTCTGTCCACCTCGTTGATGAGCTCCTTCCAGCATTTTCTTTTGCTATCCTTGATGGCTTTGTTCAGGGATTGACGGGCTTTTTTGTACTCTGCAACCAGTTCCCCAGAGTTAGTTCGTCGGTAGCCACGCTGAGATATTCTTCTCTTTTGATGACACTCTTTACGAAGGGCGCTGATGTGGTCGTTCCACCAGTGAACGGAAGGTCTTGTGTTCATGCCACGTCTACGAGACATACTGGCGTCGCACGCTTGGGTCACTCTTTTCATCAGGTCCTTAGTCTTCTCTTCTGCGCAGCCCGCGATAATCTGGTCACTATTGAGAGCTACTAACAATGCACTTGGGTCAAGAGTTTTTACCTTCCAGCCAATGGTGTTAAGTTGCTCTTTAGGTCTTCTCGGGCTCTGGGCGTTTAATATTTCCCAGAGAATCGCTTTATGGTCGCTGGCTGTGTAGGTATCCATTACCTTCCAGTTGATATTACCTCTGGTGAGGCTGCCACTGACGAAAGTGAGATCTACAATAGAACTTGCGTCTCCCTTGGTGTAGGTTGGTGTGTCACCACTGTTGAGCAGTACTACATCTAATGTAGAAAAGGCTTCTAGTAATTCCTTTCCTCGCGCGTTTGTATGCTTGCTTCCCCAGTCTACTGCCCAGGCGTTGAAGTCCCCAGCTATTGCCACTGGGTGGTAATGCTTCGCGTCCTCGGTAAGTTGATCCAGAAATGCGGTGAATTCGACAGTAGAGAGGCTAGGTGGTGCGTAACAGCTATAGAAGCGGATGCCCTCTACTGATACTGCTACAAAGCCGGCATTGCTGTTGTCGACCGCATTTTGGAAAGGGAGCTTGCCACATGACCAGATGACAGCTTTGGATGTGTTGTCAGATTCCCAGGGTTGGGTACTCAGGTGTTTATATGGCTCTGCTATCAGTACCAAGTCAAGCTCTAGTTCTCGCACGGATTGCATGAGCAGGTCATGCGCTGCCTCACAATGGTTGAGGTTGAGCTGCAGTATCCTCATGCTTGTTTGTTTGTCAACTTCTGGAGTGCATTCTGAAATACCGGGCACTTATGGGTACCGGCATGGTGGGCAACATTCTCTGCACTTTCAATCTCAGCACATAATGCACATTTGGCTGGATTTTCACAATTAGCAATCTTGTGCCCTTCTTGTCCGCACCTAATGCAAAGCCTAGACCGATCGACTTTGCTTTTGCACTGGGATCCGAAGTGCCCAAAGTGCCAGCATTTGAAGCATTGGACAGGTCTCTTCGTTGCTCTTATTCGACAGTTGGCCCAACCAATTCTCACTTTGCTGTTACCTTCTAGTAACTTCTGTGCAGTTGTCGCTGGTAGCGTCACTGTAGCAGTCTGAGTACCTCTGTAGGCTTTACGGATCTTGATCGACTCCAGAGGTGTTTCACAGGTTTCTCCGGCTTCTTTTTTCAGTGCAGTTTGAATGTCTGCCTTCGTCGTGTCGTCATTGACGTCTCGGATCTCGATAGTCTCCTGTGGCCCTTTGCATATCACTTTGGCTTCCTCTTTAAGGATGTCCGCGATGGTCTTTTGTAGGGCTTCGCCTCTATCAGCACTCTTTCTCGAGAGTGTGATCAGCATGTCCCCGGTATTGGTCTTGTGGATTTTCTCCACGATCGTACGGACCTGTTCATCAGGGACGGACTGCTTGATTCGACGCAGGATCTCGGCGTATTTCTCCTTCTCGGCAGGGCGAATGATCAGTGCGTCGGGTCTGATCCGTTTGCGGGGTTTTTTCCGCTTAGACTCCGGCCTGGGCTCCTTTGAAGTCTGCTTTGCGAGCTGCTCTTTGGCTAGTCTCTTCTTCTCCTTCCTTGATTGGACGTTTTGCCAGGCAGCTGCGTCTTTATTCTCGGCGTTCTGCTTCGACGCGTCTTTCGGAGGACTTGGCTTCTGGTCCTTCTTCTTTGCCACTCGCCTTTCTGTTGGATCTGGCGAGTTTCGGTCCTTCCTCTTATTAGACTTGAGAACACCTTCACTTTTGTCTTCAGCAATAGATTCGCTGTCCCCATCAGCACCGGTGTCCATTGATTCCTCAGTCTCAATAACAGCTTGACTGCTTTTCTCTGGCGTAATGCGAGGCGTTAGTCGTCGTGTTGACTGCCAATCCTCATCCAGTGTTCTAAATCTTCGCAGGGCGTTGACTACGCTGGTCGTCTTCGTCTTGATCTCCTTGAGAATATTGACCTTGGATAGGACGAAATTCTGCAAGTCAATAATCAGCTTTTCAAGGCGTTCCAGTGCTTTTGTTCTCTTCATTTCAGCACTTGCTGTTATCGCTGCTTCTTGGGCATGAGGCCCCTCAATACTCTTGTTAATTGTTCTCTCTTGCGTACTTCCTGTAGCATTTCCAGACAGCAGAGCCATGGGGTCCACCCTGCTGTCGTAACGGTCGCTTGATAACGACGAGTTCAGGCCCGTTTTCACGCCTTCCCTCGCCGGCACTGAGGTATCCATCTTCTGTACTGTAAACGATGTTTGAATATCTTCTGACATTTCCATATCGTTGTTTGGTGTTGTTCATTTAGCACTACCCGGAGAGCACGTGTAGGGTGTTAAAGCAGTACCTACGGACGCGAACAACGCTACCCTCGTCTTATTAGGTCAGTTAGTGAGACCAACCCATTAAAGGGGAGTTTTGTCCACGGGAGCGTATTTTGTTTGGTTATTTTGCTTGACTCCTACCCGCTGTACCTCATCAACTAAGAGATTATCCAAGTGTCATCCAAGGACAGCGAGCGTTCTCCCATCCGCTCGGGGAGATGCGCCCGGTAGCAGTATCTCTTCTGCCCCGACGTGTGTGTGTGTGTGTGTGTGTGTGTGTGTGTGTGTGTGTGTGTGTAAACCTCTTGTAACTTTTGAACGGCTTGACCGATTCGATCGCGGTTGGTGCCATTCGAAAGGGCTTGCCCAAACTTAGATTTCCTGAAAATTTGAATCGATTCGGACCGATAGATTTTGAGAAATCGTAAAAAAACTACAAAAAAAAATTTTTTCAAAAGTGTTTTTTTTTAAATAACTTTTAAACGGCTTTACCGATCAATTTCAAAAACTAATCAGCTCTTAAAGTCAAAAAACCACGTCGATCGCCGCCAGTCCGGTTAAAATCGGTTAATTCGTTCGTGAGTTATTGTTGACGATAGAAAACCGAAAAAAGCGTTTTTTCGGAATTACTCCGAATTTTTCCACTCTGTCGATATAAACTCAAAGATTTTTTATGAAGCTTAAAAAACTGCGTCGAATGCCGCCAACCGCGTGAAAATCGGTTGATTCATTCAAAAGTTATTGCGATTTGAAAATTCAAAAAATAGTGTTTTATCAAACTTCTATCAAACTTTTGAGCTCGAAGAGCTGAAAAGCATACAAAAGCTTTTTTTTTGAGCTCGGGGAGCTCAAAATATTACAAAAATTGTATTTATGAGCTCGAAGAGCTCTAAAACTTCATAAGTGCAATTTCAAGCGGTTAGGTATAGAATTGGCGGGTTGCAGGGATGGCCTTCAGGGTCAACCGTTTTCCTAATTTTTGTTCTAATAAATAGCTCTTACAAATGCACTAGCTTTGATCACTTTTTTTTTATTTAATACAAATTATAACCGGATGTTATTGTTTCAATAGAAACTTTGAGTATTTTTCTTTACAATCACGTGCATGAAACCTGATGTTAAGTAATTTATTTGTTATTAATCATCAATATTCTAAAGTCAATTCTAAAGCCACGTAAGTACTATAAACACGTCTTTTTATTCGCTCTTGTTTTTGGAATACTTTTCTGCGTTTTGTGCCTTCGGGCTATTTTTGTTGCAGTTATTATTGCAAGTTTTTGTTGCAATCTCTTCAGATTGCAAATCAGATACGTTTTTGCTTAACAAATGGTGGAGTTATTCATTATTTTCTGTCACGCCTTGAGGATTTGGAGGTTATTGAATTTTGTCGAGACGTGAACTCAGTCAGTCTATTGGAGTAAATGTAGCCTTTACCAGCACCATATTCGTTCACTAGTACGTCTTTCATGATACAGCTGGCGCCACTTCAAACGTTGTTTACGTTTTTGAATCCGACAGACGTGTGCGCAATCAATTTATTCAGAGTGAATGCTGCTCTTATAAACACCACACCAACGTGCTAAGTACATTCTAAAAGCTACAGTTGGCGCATCATTGATTGCTATTGTTTACCTTTTTCCAAATCTGACAGGTTTTTATAAACCAATTTTACATCTCGGTGAGACAGTTAAATATGTTATAAACTGTTTTAGGTGTAAAAAACCCGTATTAAAGCCAGCAAAGTGCAAGATATGTAAACTCGCATATCACCCAAGTTGTGCAAAAGAAATTACAAAATCTAAAGTAACTACGTGTTGTGTAAACTCGTTCACCTCATCCATCTCACCACTTAATATTTCACAAAGTAGTCAAGTTCAAACATCTAAACAACCAATTCTTAGACCATCGAGCTTCTCAGGGAGTATACTTCGGAAAGCTTCACTGTCAAGCTATAAATCAACAAACTCGTCACCCAAAACACCACCTATATCATCTATCGAAGACGACGCTGTGTTTTTATCGCCTATACAAATAACCTCCCCATCAATGATGAATACAGGTAGTAAGGAAAATACGATTGCATTCCAGACACCATCAGTGACTAGTGCTCAAATGATATCAGGCCAGTCTACGTCTAACTCTCATCCACCGCCAAGTCTACCTACGCAAACTCAAATTTCTGATGTGACACCAGATTGGTCTAAATTGTCGCTTGATGACAAAATTAATATGTTGTTAGATATGTCTTACAAAAATACAATAAGTATTCAAACAGTAAACATTAATTTAAATAAACACAGTGAAGAGATCAAAAACTTAGCAGCAAATCTAAATGAAAACAATAATAAAATTGTTAAGTTATCAGAGGGCTTGAATGAAGTACACTCAACTCTAACCGAAGTCACCAAAACTCAAGTTGAATCTCAAAAGAAAATTGCGGAGTTACATACTAAACTCAATGAAAACTCCACAAAGTGCCAAGAAAATTCAAATGCCATCACACTTCTCAAATCTACTATTGATTGTCTAACTGGTACTCCACTCTCTCAGTTTGCTACTGGAAATCGCATGTCATCTCAAATATTGATTTCTGGGATTCCAAATGACTCAAATGATAAACGATCAAATGAAGAAGTCGTTGAAAAAATCTTTCAGAAACTAAATATTATGAGTCTTACGAATGACATCCTGAATATCAGAGTATTTAATACAAATAGGAGACAGAGTGAATCAAACTCTACACCAACGTCTCGTTCCCTAATACTAAAATTGAAGTCTGCAGATATATGTGATCACATCATTGATGTAAAACGTCGATCGCCCAAACTCCTTGTCAAGGATATCTCAAACACGAATGCTCAGACAAATCACAACAAACCTGTTTACATCTCTAAATTCCTGCATCCTGATCTCTATAAATTCTTACAGAAAGTTAAAGGCAGAGCTAAACAATTAAAAATCAAATATGTCTGGACTTACCACGGCAATGTTTATGCTAAGAAAGATGATGACTCTCCTAGGACAGTCATTAATACTATAGATGATCTAAATAGTATTTCATAGCAATCCAGAGATAAACTCACTGTTACAAATTCATCAATAAATGTTCTAAACCTAAATATAAACAGTTATTTAGCTCATTTAGCCCAGTTTGAAGCGCTGGTTGATGAATTAAAACCTCATATCATCAAAGTAGTTGAAACATGGCTAACTCCTGATGCCTATATCTCTTTTAGTGACTACACGATTCTTCGTCGTGATAGAGGTCTTTTAAACACAAATGGTCATTACATTAGAGGTGGTGGTGTAGCCTGCTTTGTACACAATTCGTTAAAATCTAAATTACTTTATTCATCAGAATCCCAGAACATCAATGATCCTGAATTTATGATCATAGATATTATTCCACCTACTGGGTCACACATACTTTTATCTTCAATCTATAGAAGACCTCAAGGGAAACTACTCGACAACTTCTTTGTCAAATTTAGTAAATACTATCAACTTTATAAAAATATTCTTATTATGGGAGATTTAAACTGTGATCTATTGAAAACTGAACGTCCAGGTGAGCATCTTAAATCGTTCATCTCAGAATCTGGCCTTTATTGCATTCCTTTTGGACCTACTTTTCACACTACGGAAGTGGACTCCTGGCTAGACGTCATTATTATTGATAATTTAGATAAATTAAACTCGTACGTAAAATCAACATCACCGTTTATTGGTGGACATGATTATCTTTATTGTAATTATAAACTTGAACAGAAACCGACTAATGAGAAACTAGTGACATTTCGTGACTTTAAGAACTGTGATCACGATAATCTGAGGAATGACCTAAATCAAAAGCTCTGTCTCTCGAACATCAATGTAAATGATACTCAACCAAATGATTTGGTAAACCATTTTATAAATTCAGTCACCTATTGTCTGGATAATAATGCACCATTCGAAACTAGGAAGTTATGTCGTCCAAGTAGCCCATGGTTCACCAATGAGCTGAAAAGAGATTTTCGTCAACGGGATCATCTATACAAGCAGGCTCGTCGTTCTGGTAATGCAAATTTATTAGCTCTGTACAAGATCAAAAGGAAGGAATTAAAAACAAAATTAACTCTGATTAGAGATGCTTATTTTAAACAAGTCCTGGAAAACTCTCCACAAGCTGATATTTGGTCAAACCTAAAACGTATGGGGATCATCAAAGCAAAGAAATCATCTCCTCTTGATCATTTTGAGGCTGATGATTTAAATAATTATTATGCTGACATCCTTAAGAAGCATCCATCTTGTTCTAGTGACTTTATAAATAATCTGCCTAACATTGCTCTAAGGAAAGTAAATAGCATCTTCAGATGGACGCAAATTGACATAGTTGATGTCTTAAAAAATCTTCAAATTGTTCTTCAGAAATCAAAGGGTAAAAGTTCTGATGGACTAGATCTAAAATAGCTTAGAGATCATCTAACATACATTTCATTATTTCTTATGGCCATTTTCAACTGCTCTCTAAACACTAGTTCATTTCCAGATATTTGGAAGTCAGTTTTCATCATACCATTAAATAAGATCAATCCACCAAAGTCCATGTCAGATACTAGACCGATAGCAAACTTATCTCATCTTGCTAAAGTCTTTGAACGCATTGTAGCAAATCAGCTAGTCAGCTATCTTGAAACAAATTCTTTACTGGATGAGCATCAATCAGGTTTTCGAAAACACCATAGCACTCAAGCTGCTTTATTATCATTAACTGATGATATACGTAAAGCCATTGATAATGATGATCTAACCTACCTTATCCTCTTTGATTTTACTAAGGCTTTTGACTACGTAAATCCGAAAGTCATGTACATTAAAATGTATGAAATGGGTTTTTCAATTGAGGTGATTCAATCTTATCTTACTGGTAGGTCACAATCAACGCTAAAACTGGACAACTCTCCATCAAATTTCATCAATACCAGCTCTGGTGTTCTTCAAGGATCTATCCTAGGACCGATCCTGTTTCTAATTGTTATAAATGATGTGACTAAACGGCTACAATACTCGAAGCATGGACTCTTTGCCGGCGACAAATATGCTTATCTTCATTTTAAGCATTCTCAAATGAATGATGCAGCAAACAAACTTATGTCTGATGGAAATGCGGTAGTTGACTGGGCAAAAGAAGTCGGTCTTGAAGTAAACTTTAGTAAAACTAAAGTTATGATACTTGGGAGCAATAAAAAACTAAGAAATCTGAACAACTGGGATCTGCCTCAAATTATCATTGATGGTAATATTATACCTTATGTAAACTCAACCAAACATTTGGGCATACACCTAACAAATAATCTCTCTTGGGATATCCATGTAGCTCACATCACTCGTAAAGTTTATGGTACATTAAATTGTCTAAAACACAGAAGAAACATACTCTCTACTTCAACACGTAAACTACTAGTCATGACTACTATAATTCCAATTGTTAAATACTGTTCCTTCGTTTTGATTGACTTATCCAAAAGGCTAGACTACAAACTTCAACGTCTAATAAACAACACCATCAGATTCATCTTTAATTTAAGACGAGATGAGCATATCACTTCCTACAGACACTCATTAAACTGGCTCACGGTTAAATCTAAACGAATGTACTCGTTAGCGTGCTTCATCTACAAGCTTCTGAAATCAGGTGAACCAAAGTTCCTTAGAAGTCTCTTCATTGAAGAATCTACAGATATTAGAAGATCGGAAAGAATTGCTGCTAAACAAATTAATGTGTTTTTTAAAATGCCCAATTTCTCAACTACTACTTTTGAACATTCCTTCGTAGTTTCTGCGATCCGAATTTGGAGGGACTTACCATTTGAAGTCACAAATTCACTTAGCTTAAATTCTTTTAAAATCAGTACTTTTGAATTCTTCATGAAATGTGAACGAGAAAATGAACCTTAATTTCTAACTTTTAAAGAAGAAAATGAATCCTAATTTTCAAACCGTTTATATTCTTTTTCACATTTCTGTTGACACAAGTTTATTGTTCTAGATCATCTCAGATTATCATCTTCTATAATTTGTATTTTTTGTATCACTGAGTTAAACTGTTAAATTTTTTAAATTTTTAATACTCAATTTTTTATCCTCAAATTTATTTTCTTTGTTTTATTTGTCAAATTTGTATTCCAAATTAAGAAAATAATATTTCATAAAAAATAATCAATTTTTATATCTAATATTTTCTAAACTAATAGATATCTAATTTTTTCTAAACTTTATATCTTCATTAGACTTACGTGTACTTACGACTCGGCTAACGTCACCGGTTTCAAAAAAAATTATTTCTCAAATAATTGTTCAAACAAATGGCTATAAACAATAGATGGCCCGGGATTTCGCAAAAATGACTGCGATATTCGGTTTCAGCGGGTCAAAATACATTAAGTAATCATATTTTGTACACCAACCTCAAAATTTTACGAAAAGATAATTCAGCGTCTACACTATTATCTGAAGAGTAACTCAGTCAGGTACTTCTAGTAGTTGAACGGCACGCTCTTGGACCGACATGCAGGAAGACTCAGGTTCAAATCCCTAACATCGCAAATTATTTTTCAACGATAATTCGACTTTAAATCACGGAAAATTGATATAAAATACATAATTTCTAATTTGCAAGTAGAAATAACATAAATTTTACTATTATTTTTATTTTATAAACTTTTTCATAAATTGATTCTGTTTGATCAGATTTGATCAGATTTGATGTTTGATCAGGTTTGATCAGATTTGATCTAATCAGATCAAATTTGATCTGGACAGATCTGGCCAAAATGCAGATCTGCTCAGATCTAATGAATTTGATCTGATTTGATCAGAGCAGATCTAAACTTTTTTTCCCGGGTTATTTATTGAAAAGAATTTGAAAAAAATTAGCTCATTTGATTTGATTTCAATATATTTCAATCCAGTGTGAAACCTAGAATTATTCAATATTTACACATTAAAAAGAATTCTGACAAATTGGAAATCCTGTATCTTTTAAAATTTTTTTTAGTCCTTAACACGATAAGTAATAAAGTACCATTCATTTATTGAAAAGTATTTCAAAAAAATTGACTTTGTTTAATTTTAAAAATTTTTTTTTTAATTCTTTATTAGGTCTGAAATTTCCAAATTATTTATTGATTGGTGTGAATTGAACAGAATTCTTTTTGCGTTAGGCGAAAGAACGAAAGGAATTGAATTTGTTCAAACGAATTAAAATTTTAACATTCTTAATTCTTTTCAATTCACTTTTTAATCAAGGAGTTAAAATTCTTCTAATATTATTTTCTTTTTTATTATTAGAAAAATACAACTAATGAATATGAATAGAATATTTAATAGAAAAAAAAAATTACCTCGTTGCTTGTCGTAAGCATTGATACATTCACTGGTCATAAATTGACTGATTAAAGCTGTTTTGCCAACTCCAGGACCTCCAAGCATGCCGATAGTGTATGACACTACGTCTTTTGGCGGCTCACTACATCCACCTCCTCGTTTTGAATGTGTTGATGAATGTGGTTTTGATGTTTTTCGTCGAAATGAATCGCCTCTATTGATGACGCCTGTAAGTTGTCCAAAAAATTAGGAAATCGGTTGACCCTAAAGGCCTTCCTTGCAACTTCCCGTAAATTCCATACCTATAAGCGCTTAAAATTGCACTTGTAACGATTTTGAGCTGTTCGAGCTCAAAAATATTATTTATGTGTTATTTTGAGCTCTTCGAGCTCAAAAGTCTGATAGACGTTTAAAAAAAAACTATTCTTTATATTTTCAAACTGCAATTACTTTTGAATAAATAAACCAATTAGAGTCATATGTTTTTTTCTTTGAGTGAGAGAGCTATAGTCTTTTTCCTAGAGAGGGGGCTAGAAAAATAGTAGAAAGGGACGCATGGACACACTACTACAACTAAACCGTCTTTCACACAACCGCATAACGGACCCTGTTTAAAATTTCCAATAGGATCCCATCAAAAGCGACAAAAGCCACTTAGAAACCAATAAAATTTATGGGTTTCTAAGTGGCTTTTGTCGCTTTTGATGGGATTTTATTGGAGCTTTTTAACAGGGGACTGTGATTGGCTCTCTCCCCTAACAGCTCATACCGAGATTCTTTGCACTTCCAGAACATTAAAGGGTTAATCTGCTCTTATTCCTGATCTAATTGATTAAAGGCAATAAATAAGGATCGAAATTGAAGGTTATTAAATAAGCTTTAAGATGCAATTTACAGAAATATTTTATTTTATTTTATTGAAAAAAACAAACCCAACAGCTTGCGCCATTAACAGGGTTATTAGAATTATACATAAAGTAAATATAAATTTATATATTTACAAAGCTTACCAAGATGTCGCATAACTAGTACAATATTTAATATCGAATATAATATTTTAATATAATATTTAACAAAAAATTTGATATTTAATATGATATTTATGCGTAATTTTAACGTTAAATAAGTAGCTTGGCGAGACATTAGTGATCTTAGATAATTTAATACTATAGAAAAGGATTGCACAGGTTCAAAACTGTTAGAAAGATCAGACTAGTCAGTTTCGTATATAGCAGTTACTAGACTAGACTGATTAAAAGTTTTTAAATTATACCTATGACGAATTCCATTCTCATCATATGTTTTATCCAGTTTTATTGACAAGCTGAAATCAATAATCAAAGCAGGATGATAGGCATCAATGCTGACTAGTGTCTAGTCTGACCTTTTCACATTACATATTATATTGAATAGCACTAAGTATAGATAATTATTTTGAAAATTAGTTACAATATTATACTATTCAAATTTAAATAAGTTATTAAAGTCATTTAAATGTGCCGATCTGGCATCACATAAAATATTCTCTTGATGCCTGACAAACTTGTTAATATTAACGTCACCAGCCATAATAATTTTACAGTCAACTACACACCGAATTCCAGAAAAAGAATCTAATAAAAGAAAACAATAAATACACCAATAACTACCGCAGGAGACATGTACACAATAATCAGCAAGAGCTGATGTTATTTTTCTGCTAGCCAAACTCCAATTAAGTCGATACCCTCAAAGCTTGATATCTTCGTGTTAAGACCATGTACGTTTTGGTAGCAGATTGAGAGTTCACTAGAAGAATGCTTTCCTGACGAGCTACTGATTCTTGTTCAGACTCAGAACCGAAGTTCGATACCGTTGAACAATAATCTGTTGGGTCCCTCTGGTCACTATCCGTAGATCCTTTCCCCCTGCTGTAGTACGCCTCTTCACCTCCTCCTTCAAGGCCAGATATTCTTGCCTCCATGTAGGAGTCTGATCTCTTGCAATAACTAGGTGCTGGAGTGATGGTGGGAGCTTCTTTTGGTTCCTTAATCAGATATACTCTTGCAGGATAGTATCAACAGAGTCAAGGCAATTGAAAATAATTTTAACAGGACGTGAGTTGGTACTATTTACTAGTACTTTACCCATACGCACACACTTGAAGTTACACTTAGCTTCAGCGATTGGATTAGCTAAAAGTGCCGACAAAACAATCCGAGATTTTTAAATTTAAATTACCATCCTCTGTGTCTCGGGATTCATCTTCTGGTAGGCCATAGATCATAAGATTTGAGCGCCTGAAGAGTCTGTCATCGAGTTCCTTAAGTACATCACCAGCCGCTCCAGATGTTGATGGGGCCCCTACGCTGCCAGCTACGATACTGTCAATTTTCTGATTAAGTTGGACTATAGCACTGTGTTTCTCAATTCTTTTAGAGGAGAAATCTTTTAAAAAGGTATCAATATTGTCAAGTCGAATCTCAACTTTATCAATTCGTCGAGCTAGTGGTGCGATTTCACTCCTGAAGGTCTGTTGAATATCCTCTAATGAGAATTGAAATGTTCCACCAGTGTTAGATGGTTTACGTCCCGGTCCACAGCATATCAACCGTAAAAGTTGGATTTTCGATCAACATGCAGAGGGCGCAAAGAATACGATTTCTGGCAATCTATAGTTTAGTTAATTTACCTCCCACTAGTATCGAAAAGTAACTTTTCTCTCTCTATCTGTCTCTGCATTTCTGCAGGACTACTAAAATACGCTATAGATGAGTCGTATTATATTTTAATTCGACAAACGTCCGCTGGGTGGAGTAAAAATCGCAAAAAAAAAATCTTAGCGACAGTCGAATCTTGTAAACGACTTCTACATATACGTACATTTAATCCGTCGCTATTTAATCTCGTGTGACATAATTCTTGTGCCTTCAAATAAAATAAACAGTAATTATAGTATATTACAACTCTAGGCCAGAAAGTTGGATTTCCTGGCGTATGGGATATGATGGCCGAGACGTAGCCGAGCTCGAATGGTAGAGTAGCCGACATGTCTTCGGAAGGTTCTGGGTTCGAATCCCAGTCCGAGCTATCTAATAATTTTTTCTCGCATATTCTATAAACTCACATCAAGATGATGACCACCCCGTCCAGGGCTACCAATGTCTCGACGCCTTAACAACCGCTAGGCTACCACGGCAGTTCTTCATCTGTAAATAAGAGTCGCAAGAACTTAGGTTCACCAGTTTCCAAGATTTTATACGTCAGACAAGCCAGAAAGTATTCCCTTTTTGATTTAACACTAAGCTATTTTAGAGTGTGTCCATAAGGTGTAATATGTTCATCTCTTTTTATATTAAAAATAAATCTTATAGAGTTATTAGTAAAAAAAAAAGTGTTTTGATAATTTATGAAAAGATCTACGAATCAGAAATTCTTTAAGTTTTCTAAAAATAAAAATTTCATAATAAAATCGCTATATATCCATTGCATTTGATGATTCACTCTCTTCTTTATCATCATTAGTCTCAGATAATAGACTCAAAATCTTTTCCGTATCAATCAGATCATCTTTAATCTTCTTAATTTTTTTCATTTTTTCTATGAGTGTTATTCCTAATGAAATCGTAGATTTCTTTTTATGAAATCGCATATACAGCTCGTGAATTGTTTTATTAATGGAATCTTTTTTACAAGAAATCACTCGTACATCGTCATCATCGATCTTATTAACGTTAATCCGATCGCAATAATCTTCATCTTCATCATTGTAATCATAAATATTGACACGATTATATTTAACATCAACATTATTAATAAAATTTCGTTTCATGAACTCTTCGCGGCTTAATACCATGTTAACGACACAAATGAACAGTGGGTTGTATAAGTTTGCCATTTTTTTTACTTTAACTGCAGAATTTCCTGATTTTATAGTTATAGAAATAGAATTGTCATGTGCAATTGTTTTCAAGTCACGAACACGTAGTTTAACCAGTTGATTAAAACTCAAATTTGTTATGAGGATCAATATCATAGCTATAGCAGTATCAATAGTAGCTCGAGATGGTACTCTAAGGTAATTAACCGCTTTAAATGTCACTGCATATCTAAAGATAGTGATTATCAACTCTTTTAAACCAATTATTTCAATATTGTTCATTGGATTATCTATAACCAAACGACCCCGTCGTGAGAAACCAAGCTTACTAATTTTAACAGTTAATGAAGGATTCCATCTACGTAATGTGGAATATATGATATTCATATAACTAGGAGTTAATTTTCGGCCATTTTTATTCGAAGTTGTTTGTAATTGCCTTAAAATGTCGACAATATTGTCATTATTTAAATTATTAATATCAATATTCATACTTTGCAACTTTTTTAAATGGGCATGACGAGTATTAACTGTTGAAGAACGGCATTTCATTAAATTTTCATGAAATAAAATTTCACGATCAGACATCTTGGCTTACTTATCTTAATAAAATTCGTATGTATTTAACAGAAGTAAGATTATTTTAAATCAAGTTTCTACTAATATATATGACAAAAAAATAAAATTGAATTTGATGAATCATTGAAATGAATTACTCATCGATCCATGAAACAAAAGTGACTCTGAGACAAAAATATACTTATAATTATCAATTATTAAATTTTCATTAAATGTTGGAACGCTTCACGTAATAATTATCCGTAACTCCTATTCTTTCCCGCTTCACAGCATTATTTATATTTGTTAAAAAATGAGGAAGCAAATTTTTTGGTTGTACCACGAAATCTCCCCGGACAAAATCTCCCCGGACAAAATCTCCCCGACAAAATCTCCCCACGACAAAATCTCCCCGACATAATCTCCCAACAACAAAATCTCACTAAGAAAATCTCTCTTAACTAATTTTAAAAATTTGTTATAATTTAAATACTTTACGATTATTTTATTACCTTTGCTTGTGACCGTGTTGCACCCTTTTAACATGGTTTTTATGTGTTTATATTCGACATTA